ACTTGGGTTTCATGCCCAGTCGGCCCTTCAGCTGCTCGTGGCCATGGGAAGTAGGACGGCAGGTGTTTGTTGAGTTCTGTTTTCCAGTGTTGGTCACCTAAAACACGTCACAGGACGATGGGCGGCAACAAGAACTAGCAGATCGAAGAATCGAATGCCTAGACTTTTGAACTGCGCCTGCATTCAGTCTAACCACCAGAATCTTTAGGGTTTTGGATGGTTTAGGGTTTGGGGTTAAATTTCACACCGTTGCTTGGTCATCGCTGCCGAAGCTCGCGAATCCTCAAATCCTCCTGACGCACTTGGGCCCTTGGGCCCTTGGGGTTTTTGAAAGTTTTTCCCATACCTTGGTTCTCCCTTGCTATTCTTGGGCTCGCATATGAGAATCTTTGTTTAGGAGTACCATGAGAGGGCTGAACCCTCAACCCTAAGCCCTGAACCCTAAACCCTAAACCCTAAACCCTAAACCCTAAACCCTAAACCGTCTCCCTGACTCGCAGCCCGAGCTTCCGCTGGACTTCAGCCCCAGGGCCCGCGAGCCCAGGTTGCCGGGAGCTTCTGTTGGAGGATTCTAAAGGTTTAGGGTTTGGGGTTTAGGGTTTAGGGTTTGGGGTTTAGGGTTTAGGGTTTAGGGTTTAGGGTTTGGGGTTTAGGGTTTAGGGTTTAGGGTTTAGGGTTTGGGGTTTGGGGGGGAGCACAAGGCCTGCTTCCCTGGACCCTGAACCCTAACCCTCATGAGAGGATGAGAGGATGGGGGGGGTTGATGGGGGTTTGCGATACTTTGGGGGGTTGGATCATAGGACCCCCAGAAGATCAGCCACCATGTCAGCTAGTCGGTTTGGGAGGATGCCCCGGCGAAGACTGTCTCGTACACATTCGAACAAACCTCACCCGAAGGCTCTATGTGCAGACATGATGGGTTCTGAGACGCTCGGACGTACCAATCGCACTGCTGCCTGCACTGCTCCCTCCAATCCTTGACACCTCAAGCTTTTGTTTTAACTGCCAAGTCGAGGTTCAAGGTTCGACTGAAGCTCCTCCGACAAGGGAGTGCAAGGATTTCAGGCCGAAGAAGCGGGCCAAGGATTGCAGGCTTACAACTCTATAGGAAACCTTCCGTCAAGCATAGTGGATGTTTCTAGATGAAGGCTGCTCTACATGAAGGACCCTTTTGCGGTTCCCGACTATCGTTCGTAACCCTAAAACCCTCAACCGTTGCGCAGAAGGTAGATCAAGCGTCGGATGTGCCCAGCGCAAGCCGGCTGAGGCCGCAGCTGGCGCTGGCTACAGCCCTACGAGTGCCATGTGGCCTCGGTGGCATTACGTCTTAGGGCCAAGTTTGGGTTTAGGGTTTAGCAGATGGGCTTCAGAACATCGGCAGAGAAGTAGCGCTTGACTCGCGCTGCCCATGTAGTAGAGTCCTGCACGACTCTTAGTGATTCAGTGCATGTGATGTTTGAATCCTTGAAACCCTACCTGCTTGTAACCGGCCTTTCACTGTGCTGAACAGCGCCCTCAACTCCGAAACAGATCCGAGGCCTTATCCTACATTCCCAATGACGCCAAGCACACTCCGTGCAGCTGGCCTGTGAGCTCGGAGAGGTTTCTTGTTTGTTTCTTCCTCCTGGTGTTTTCAGAAGATTTTCATGAACATGTTATGTGGAATGCTTAATAGCAGCGGGTACAGGGGATTGTATAGGGTGAGGGCATTAGTGTTCAGTCGAAGATATGTTGTAAGTCTACCTTCTACTGCCTTCCGCGTCTTTGAGTCCAGGGTACTGGGCGGACATGTGAAAGACTGTGGCAGACGACCGTCCGTGTGAAGGGTGTGAAGCTTTAGTGTTCTGTGAGGGGGTATATCGGGGCACTTTTATTTCGTGAAGTACCCAGATTGCTCTGGTTGATGTAGAAGTGAGCAGGTAGGTGAGGATTTGAGGTAACCCCCCCCCCCCCCCCCCCACCCCCCCCCCCGCCTCCCGCCCCTTCCATCGCCAGCAACCATGCTGCCCCAAATGCCCAACCCCCAGGCCCGCCTGCCCCTCCACAATGCTCATGCTCTTTCTCGTGGCCAGCTAGCACGGACCTTGCCGCCCAGACCTTGAGCCACCAGGCGGGCAGCGATTGCTATCTGAAGGTGCTAAGAACCAGAACGCCAACAGAAACATATACGATGTGCATAGTACGTATGTTTTTGTTTGTTTCTATGTATGTAAGCAAGTAAGTATGTATGTACGCATATACATATGCATATCAATACTTGTGGTACGTACTTTCAGATACATGCTATGCATCAAGCATATACATATATATATATATATATATATCTGTGTGTAGTGTATGACGTATATATATATATGTATAGAGAGAGTATTTATGGCAAATTCAATAACATATGTTCGTATGCTGTCGCATATGGAGCAGCAGGCGCTGCCAGGACGGATTTCTGTGTGTTGGCTGGGTGCGTCTCAGAAACCAGGAGTATCTGGGCCCCTGAACCTGGATGACCAGCCCCAGTAGTTCCCTCCCTTCTTTACAGCTATAGGATTAGGATGAGGCTGCCTGGTAGACCTCAGCCATATATTTTTTTCTCCATGGGAAACCTAGCCAGCCCTCTAAGCCAGGCTTTGGGGATTGAAGTCTTGGACTTTACGGGAATCCGTAGATCTTTTGTTTGGCTCTGCCGGGCAGAACATTCCGGACATTCTATATACATTCTCACACCCCATGGCTTCAATGTAAGCTTGCAGCACCCACAGATCCTAAGCCCTGGCCCTAAACCCAAATCCCGATACTTAAGCCCCAGAGAGCCCCACGCCCAAACCATACTCCCACCTCCTGCTACACAATGCCACGGCTGCGCCTGCGTGCAGTGCAGATAGTGCAGATGCCTGAGACTCAGTATCTATGGCTTGCAGGGTTTAGGGTTGATCCCTGAAACATTGACCCCGAAGCCCTTCAGTCATCATCGTAGTGGTGCTTCGAATTCCAAGAACAAACAGGTACTGCAAGAATTAGCTCGAAAACAGCAATAGACACTGCCAATGACGAATCAACAAAGGCATAGCAATGCAAAAACAACTTGCGGCATTACACAAATTCAGAGTCAGACGAACCAAGAAGAAAACACAATTTCATACACACCCTGAGCCCGAAACCCTAAACCCTGAACATGACTTGTCATACAAACTTCTTCAACCCTACAAAACCGCGCAAAGTCGCACAAACCCTGGATAAGCCCAATACCCCAACACAAACACTCCTCGCAAGCTCTTCGGCGAGACTGCCCTAAACCCTAAACCCTAAACCCTGAACCCTAAACCCTAAACCCCAAACCCTAAACCCGAAACCCTAAACCCTAAGCCCTAAGCCCTAAACCCTAAACCCTGCCAAAGCCCAAGGTCTGAACTCCAGAGCCCATGCGGTCCAGTTTCCTTGGCCGGCCTGGTGCACAGTGCAGACGGGGGCCGGGAGGCGTGTAGAGAATCTCAAGCCTTTAAGCTTAGGGGTTAGGGTAAGACCCGCTGAAGCCCCGAAAAACTTAGCAAAGCATTTTTATCCTGGAAGAAAACGACTCCACAAAGCCTCTAGAATCAAACCCTAGAACCCTTAAACTCGAACATGGCAGCTCCCCCGAAGCTTAGAAGCAAGGGACTGTGGAGGGATCCTTTCTGGGAGGTCCCTACTAAGCCCTGGGCCCTAAACTCTTCAAACTGCGAAGTCTCTAAACCCCAAAAAACCCCCTAAGCCAAGCCTAAACCCCTTAAATCCCCGAAGCCTCCCAAACACCTAAATGAGCAGTTGCAAGTAGGGTCTCCTTTCTTGTATTGCGGGCTGAGCACTTTGCAGGGGTACCTTGAAGCGTGTCCCAGGCTCTTGCTTTTGTCGGCCGCGTGGCTGCTCTCCCAGTGCTGGCTGGCCGCTGCCTGAGAAGATATCTCAAGGGGTCTATTTTTAGGGTTGAGGGGTTCGCTGGGTTGGGCAGTTGATCAGGGTAGTACGACATACCGTGAGGGGAGATATGGTTGCGGAGAGCAGAGTCAGGACTTTGCCGTCGCCGGATTCAAGCATCGAGGGCTTCGGAGTTCACGGTGGGCCCTGAGCCCTAGAACCCCTTGAGGCTGGGTCCTCCTCGAGTATATCTGCAAGTGGGTTTTAAAGAAAGTAAAGGGCCGATCTAGGTGGGGTGGGATTCCTGGTCACTCCCCGCCCTGCTCCTACTGTGATTACTTGTTTTTCAGTTTTTGATTTCTGTGTGATTAAGTAGATTACCTTCTTACACTAGCAGTACACAGTATTATCATCGCTCCTATACGCCCCATACGCTCCCAAGGGCGCAAGGGCGCCGCGGCGTCAAAAGCGCATCCGGCGCGCCGCCTCCGCCGCAGAGGAGCTTCGAGGCGGGGCCAAGACCTGCGAAATGGAGTGAGGGCCGTTGGTTGAAGGGTTCTTAGGGGGGGGGGTTCAAGGGGGTGTGTAACCCAAGGTTCTCTCATATTCCCCACCACTCCCCCATGAACCTCCTCCCTAAAGGACCCTATAACTTAGGGTTTCGGGATCAGGGTTTAGGGATATGTTGGTTTGGTGCTTAAGCAAGATGGCTCAGGCCTTTGGAGTTTTTTGGGTGCGCAAGTCACATGGCGAGCTATGGGGGGGGGTCCTAGGTCAGATAGCGGTACTGACAGACCATGGGAACAATGAATGCGCATATTCATCACCATAGTCATATGAGATAGGTTGACGTATAGACATGGGTGAGTGCCTGTCTCACGTGACTTTTCGGGATCCTAGCAAACACTACTTCATGTGCATATACGTCCGAAGCATAGACGTGCACGTACACATACCACCCCCCAAAAAAAACACAAATAAAGAAATAAAAACATAAGTAACAAATAAATAATCATGATAATAGTTAGTAGTAATAAAACTAGGAATAGCAATAACAATCAGAGCAACAACAAAAAAACACACAACAACAAGGACAAAGCCCCCACCTCAGGATGGGTGCAGCAATTCATCCTGGATGGTGGGCCCCGTGGCCGCCTTGCCGTTTGTCGTGGCCTGCGGTCACGGAGTCCTACCAGTAGCTCAGTGTCCTTCGAATGTTTATGGTTTACCCAAAGGCTCCTATGTAGTACCTTTTTGGGGTAGTATACTAGACTCCCAAAAAACTAACCCAAAAAGGAACTACATTGGAGCCTTTTGGTAGGGTCTAGGGTTAGCCCTGTAGGATTTTAGGCGTTTACGGCCCACGCTGAGCAGACAAACGGGTTTAGGGTTAGGGGTTTGGAGTATCTGGATTCGGGGATTAGGCGTTGAAAAGGTTCTGTCCCTGGGCCGTCCGCTCGATGGCGGCCGGGGAGCTGCGCATCGTGGAAAGTGCGGCGGTGCGGCCAGAGGAGTCAAACCAAAAAGCCCCAAACCCCGAAAAGCCTCTGCCTCCCTAAGCCCCGTGACCCAAGACCCAATGCCAAAAAAGCCTACTCCCCAAGGCGGAAATCCACCCTCCCGACCACAACCACAGCCTGCAAGCTCATTCCGACAGCCTCCTTAGGAAGCAGTTCTTATTTTGGTGTGTATAAGCCCCGATTCGGAGTGTGAGCTCCAGGAGGCCGCTCTCAGCCTGTGCGAGCAGGCGTGCCTGATGCGAGCTTGTACGGTTTGGGGCATTTAGGACTTTTGATATTCATGGTTGGGTATAGGGCTGTAGGCTTGGAGTTTATAGGGTTTAGGGTTTTAGTCGTTTGAGAATGTAGTGAGCAGCAAGCTGCACTTGTTGATGCACGGACCGATGCGGGCCATACACCACATCCTTTAATTCCGGGATGATGAGGCGACCTAACCGGGCCCACCCTCCATACTAGCTTTCAGCGTTCTGTTCCCTTATCAGTCCCCCTTTTAGCACAGAACACGTTGCCCCTGGCTCACACTGGACGGTTCGGGTGCCAGGTGCCGGAACTCGCGGCCGCACAGGGGGAGCTTGCCACGACGCTGGTCGTCTTCCGCCACGTGGAGCCTGGGAGTCAGGGGTTTAGGGTTCAGGGTCCGGTGTAGGGTTTAGGGTTTAGGGTTTAGGGTTTAGGGTTTAGGGTTTAGGGTTCGTTAGCCCAAATTGGGGCGTTTGGTTTAGGGGTGTAACCTGCAACAAACATGCACAAGGTAGATTGTGCAAATCTAAAGGAGGTCTTGTAAGGCACGTTCCCTCAGATTCGAGTTGAAGGGTTTGGGGTGTGTAGGGGTTGGGGCTTCCCCCCCCCCTGGAGGCCAACCGGAGGACATGTAATTGTTCTACGTCGAGCTGGCACATAGTCGCAGTGTGGGTTCCTGTATTACTATAGGTCCTCAGGTCCGTGTTTGGGGCATCGGCGTATGACTGTCCACACAATTTACTCTTTCACTTTGAAGCTTGTCAGCTGGACAAGGAAGCATTCCACGATTTTTTCGTCTTCGATGCCTACGTCAAGGCAGCATAGCCACACTCTGCAGCACAAGAGCCTCCAGCTCTTCCTTTGCGCGTCCAGCATGTCGAGTCATCGGCTGCGTTGAGATTGCATGCGCTCAAAGTTCGATTGTCGGGGATTTCTACACATGGACTCTCTGGGAACCCAAAACCCCAAACTTAAACCCTAAACCCTCAACCCTATGAACCCCAAACCTCCTCCTTTCAGGCATGGGACCGTGGACGCGGGGCTCCCAAAGGCACCCGCACCGGGGCCCCGTTGCCGGTGGCGACCGCCCCAGCAGAAAGGACATCCCACCCTCTGGGTTTCGGGTTTAGGGTTTTAAGGGTTTAGGGGTTAGGGTTTAGTTAGGGTTTCGCAAAAATTAAGTACAAATAGGGATTAGGGCTTCGATTTTTGGTAGGGTTTGAGGTTCGTCGTATGGTTGACACGGCACTTTAGGTTACGCAAGTTTTCGGTTGAGGGTGGTTCTTGAATGAAGACGGTGTCGAACCCTAAACCCTGATCCCTAAACCCTAATCCCTAAACCCTCAACCCCCAACCCTCAACTCTCAACCCTAAACCCTCAACCCTAAACCCTGAACCCTAAACCCTAAACCCTAAACCCTAAACCCTAAACCCTAAACCCTATACCCTAAACCCTAAACCCTAAACCCTAAACCCTAAACCCTAAACACTAAACCCTAAACCCTGAACCCTACAAACCCCCATGTTGCTGCCGGGATCTCAGCTTAAAGCTGTACGGCCCGAGGACGCTGGATCACCTGAAGCGCTGCCACGAGCAGCGCCGTCCTCAGTGCAGGGTTTAGGGTTTAGGGTTTAGGGTTTAGGGTTTAGGGTTTAGGGTTTAGGGGTTAGGGGTTAGGGGTTAGGGGTTTAGGGTTTAGGGTTTAGGGTTTAGGGTTTAGGGTTCAGGGTTTAGGGTTGAGGGTTTTGGGTTTTGGGGTTTAGTGGTTTAGGGGTTTAGGGTCAGCTGAGTTCTGGGTTTCTTGGCTGGCAATGCTTGCTGTTTTGCTGCTGGTGCTCCAATTCATTGCGATTTCTTTGTCGTTTGTAGCCGAAGTCCCTTGCGCTTGTGATTTGAGGAGTTCTACTGTATGAGGTTTTGATTTGGCGAACTTTGAGGTTTAGGGGTTTGGGGTGGCTCGGACCTTGTTTTCAGAACTGCGAAAACTGGTCTGCGGCCGCGCGCTTGTGCTTTGGCATGGACTTTAAGGCCCGAAACGCCCTCCCCCCCCCCCCCCCCTAACGTCTCAGCCTTTGAGCCTTGCCTTTACCCTGAGCCCCCTTTGATCCTTGGCTGAAACCCTAAGGCCCCCTATCATGCCCTGCACTTCGTATGCCTTCAACCCGCCGCTGTCCATGCCTCCCTGGCTTCCAGGTGCCGGCTCGTCAGCTTCCACCCCGGATTCGCCCGCTGGCTCGCGCCCAGAGGCGGCTTCCGCAACGGCAGCAGCTTGCAGCGATTTGGCGCGGGCTTAGGGCAGTTTAGGGTTTAGGGTGTAGGGTTTAGGATTTGGGGTTGGCTTCTCTGAAGCGGATCGTTCGAGGGCGGTCGCTTCAGCGAGGGTGCAGAGCTGCAATTGCAACAAGAACATGCGAAACCGTCCTCCGAACTGCATCATGAGGACCCTCGGCCGCAAAGGCCCCATACTCCCTTACCCTAGCACCTACAAAGGCTTCAAAAACCCTTCGCCAAAGGCCAAGTGTCCCTCGACCTCATGCAGAAGCGCGTGCACCTGGACCCTGCCTTTGAAGGCAGCGGTTCTGGTATCTAGATACGGGCTTGGCACAAGTTCTGGTCCGCTTTGGGGGTCTCCATTAAATTCAATGTCTTCTAGTTCGGGTATCACTAAGCTCCCGAAACCCTACGCCCTAAACGCTAAACGCCCGAAACCCCAAGAGTCCGCCTGTCAAAGGTGAGCCTGCTACCATCTTCAGCCCTGGCCCCCCGGAGGTTGAGGCCTCTGGTTTTCGGAGCCCTTTGTGGGCATAAGATGGCTTAAGGATGGCTTAGGATGGCTGGCTTCGGATGGCTTGGGATGGCTTAGGATGGTTTCGGAGGTTTCGGGTTCGGAAGATTGCAAGGTGGAGTAGGATGTCGGTCTAGAGGAGCCTTGAAGCTCCATTTCTCTGTTGGGAACCTCCACCGTGTAGGGTTTTGGGGATTTAGGGTTTAGAGGGTTCAGAGTTCTAGGGTACCCTACACCCTACACCCTAAACCCTAAACCCTAAACCCCAAACCCCAAACCCTAAACCCTAAACCCTAAACCCTGAGTAGCAAGCTTCGAAGTTTCCGCCTTGCAGGTGGGGCCTCGCCAGGTCTGCGCGCGCCTGCGCGGTTTCTTGGCCCTTCAGGGCTTTGCCAGGATGTGTTTAGGGTTGAGGGTTGAGGGTTGAGGGATTGAGTAGGATGCCCTTGGAACGCCCCCTTTTGTCGGATTGCTAATGGGCTTCTGTGGTTTGAGTGCCCTTCCTCGTTCTGGTTTTGGAGCCAGGTAGGTGTGTGAGGCCCCTAAGTTGTACGACTTGCCCAAGTTGTGGTGACTTAGGTCGGAAGTGGGCATTTCCCAAAACACGGGTACTCCTTGCATACCCAAAAGATCCCACAAGTTTGTTTCGGGTTTAGGTCCTTTGAGCCAACTCGGCGTGAGGGGCTTATAGAGTTCAGGGTATCTCCGGGGTCATTTGGCCAACTTGAAATCGCTTGAAGTCGGCAACTGCCCGCGAAGCGCGCCCAAGGCGGCAGTGGTATTTGCGCCTGGGATCTGGAGGATATCATACCCACGGAGGAGTCCATGTCCTGGACGTCTCAGGGTTCGGGGTGTAGGGCTCAGGGATCCACCTCTCAAAGCCACACAGCTCCAAATCCTGAGCCATGTCGCCAAGAGGACACAAGCCCAAGACGTATCATTGCATAGGCTCTAGGTGCAGCGTGCTCCCTGCAGGTTAAACCTGTGTGCCTCAGGATTTAAGGCTGTAGGGGTTTTGTTTTTGTTGTTTTTTTTTTCCGTTTTTTTTTTTTTGGGGGGGGGGGGGAGTGGAGGGGCGGGGGGCTGGGGGATTGTCTGTATATGTACCGTTGTTTTTCCTCATTTGTTTACGTTTGGGTTTCATTTATGGTATCGGTCAGCCCCGAGAATTTTGTAGAGTATCGTTTCAGACCAAGCCTCGGGCTCTCTGGGTGTAGGGCGGTCAGTTTATCTGGCTGGACGCCCACAACAGAACAAACTCTAACAAGGGTTGAGGGATAATAGGCCTAAGGCTCCAAGGACTCTTATTTTAAGGCTTTTGGCCCCATTGTTATAAAAGGTTTCCGACGCAGACTGCAAGGAGCACGTGGCGCTGCCGGACAACAGCATGCATCGTGCGCCCTTTCCCGTGGTGCACCTGATTCGCCAGGCTGGTGGTTAGGCTGCTTAGGCTTTGCCCACTGTGTAGGGCCATTCAGTTCGACACCGTCCTAGGGACTCATGTTGTGTGTCACGACCCTGCTGCGCCCCTACATCCTCCCCACTGCCTGCGGGATGGTCTTTGGTGTTTTCCTTCTGGTTACCGTGTTGCCGGCCTTCAGGGCCGCCTTTTGAGATTTTCGCCTGCAAGTTAGAGGCAATAAAACCTACTTTCTATACGCTAAATTACGCTAAGCCTGCATATCCTGTGGAGGTGGACCTGTCTGGAGACAACATCATTACTGCCCTTCGGCGACAAAGTTGCCCAAGAGATGTCACTGCCGGAGTTGCGATCTTAATGGCTCGTGCTTGGGGTTTTGGGTTTGGGCTTGCCGCCGGAACGTTACACCACTCTTGAACACACTCTCGTTTAGGGTGTAACTTGGGGGTGTCATGAAGTTGTTTTGTTCGTGGGTCCCAGCCTGTTTGTAAAGCAGATTGGCTGCCTTAGGCCCGCACCTGATGTCTAAATGCTTCATTGTGGCCGCTGAGGAGGCCAACGCACTTCGCCGGCGGAATGCCGAGCAGTTTCGTGCCAGCGGCGGAAGCAGTGACAAGAAAGAGGGAAGCTTTGAGCTAAGATTTGTATGTCGGCCTTTTTGGGCCTAGGGTTTTCTGGCATGTGTGTCAGTATTTCATCTGTGAAGTCCTTCGTTATACACACATCTTCGGCCATGCTTTCAGCCATACTTGGAGCTCCAGGCATCAAGGTCCCCAAACCTTGTGCCCTATGCCAAAGGTGTGCTATGTCGTCTCAACCCGGCTAGTTCTTCTCAGGTTGCAAGGTTGTCGGAAGACTTTCTTTCGGTTTTCAAGGGTTTGAGCGTCTGGGTTTGCTATGGGTAGTGAGGGCGTCGGGATGTGTAAGGTTTTAGGGTAGATGTGGTTCTGGTTCTTAGTAGTTTTCATCCCTTAAAAGGGGTATAAATCGGGGATAATAGGGGGATCTATGGATGGGTGGTGCCTACTTATTCTTCCCTACTAAGAACCAGTAGCATGGTCTTGGGCCCTGTCTGCTTCCGGAAGGACCACCTAGATCCTGCTAACCTGGTACTCCTTACGATTCAGGGCTTAGGGCTTTCGGGTTTAGGGTTCAGGGTTTAGGGCTTTCTGGAGTTTTAGGGCTTAGGGGTTGGGGTTTTGGGATGTAGGGTCTAGGCTTGCCTCCCCAGCCGGACAACCCTACATAGACCTACGTACTCCTAGCCTCACGACATGAATGTAGCCTCCACCCGTGCCTTTGGAAGGCCCCACAGCTTCAGCAGTTTGTTCAAGGCGCGGGGAACCCCGAAACCCTGAACCCCTAAACAACCCTGAACCGGAAATCCCCCCGCCCGCCCCCCCCCCCCCCCCCCCCAAAAGAAAAAAAACAAAGGAAAGAGAAGGAACTCCAAAACCCGGGGGCTTGAAGGGTTGAGTGCCGGGCCACAGTCTCCAAGATTGGGAAAGACCCCCCTGGACCTGACATTTCCGACCGCAGGTTTGTTTAGGGTCCCCTAAGCCCCAAACCCTAGGATCCTGATAGCGCTACCCAACATAAAGGGAGGGAGCAACCTAAAAGAGGCAGCCCTTTCGGATCTTGAGTTGCTTATTATCCCCCCACACACACCTAAAAAGGCGCTGTCGAGGCTGTTGTATCCATATCCTTTTTTTGTCAAACAAGTTGTAAAAGAAGTTGAGTACCCTTGTATCGGAACCGACTAGCTCAATGAGTTTTTAAGCCACACCATTATCTTTGAAAATTGATTGCATGGTGTGGTTTTTTGATTGCATGGTGTGGTTTTGGAAAGCCCTAAGCCTCCACCGCTCACAGGTGTCAGCACACGGGCCAGCGCCTCAATACCGGCTTGGGGTTCAGTGGGCCCCTATCCGGGCTTGACAGGTTCTAGCTTCAGGTCAAGGATATTTGGCATATTGTGGGGTATATGTTTCGGGTTTTTAGAAATTTCTTTGCACATGGTTTGAGTTTCTGGCTCAGCCCCCCCCCCCCCCCCAACTGCCCTAAAGCCCTAAACTTAGCTGCGACGCGACTCTTGACAGCCACGAGACGCTAGACCCTGAACTTTAAACCCTAAACCCTATGTCCGTTATCGAACACGGCCCTGAGTCTTGTACTTTTCAACCGTAAGATCACAAATATGTGTATGCACCTTTAGGTTCTTGTGTGCATGCGGAGGTCCTCAAGGCCGACCCTTACTCCATCCTCCAACTACTCCTAGGACCCCGCGAAACCTAAAACCCTAAAACCCCAAACCCTATAAGCCCCAAACCCTAAAAACACTCAACCCTGACAGCGCTCAGAAGCCTAAACGCCCGAAAGCCCTAAAAGCTTATAAACGAAAACCCTGAACCCTGAACTTCAAGCCCTAAAAGCCTAAACGCCCGACACCCTGCAGATACAGAAGCTGGAGCGATCTCGCGGTCAGATCTCCAAAGACCGACTTTGGGGATTTTTTTTTTTTTTTGGGGGGGGGGGGGGGTGTGGCTGTGGGGTCTGGTCTTAAGGGGGTTTCTCGGGTTCAGGGATGTTTTGTGTTTTTTCTGTGCTTGTTTCAGGTTGTTTACGATCACGCTTCTTGGGGGCTGTGCAAGGGGTTTAGGATCTGATGTGGAGATCTTGCTTCAGAGGGGTTTGCAGGGGCGTTTTGGGGTTTACGACTAAACTTCGCGCAAGGTTTCAGGGTTGAGGATCCCTAAACACTAAACCCGAAATGAGATCATGACGCGCGGGAAGGATGCCGCGGGTATGTTCAAAGAGGTTCCAGGGCTTTTGTCTTTTTCTTGGTCAGAGTTTTGCAGGGCAGAGGTGCCCGAAACCCTAAGCCCTAAACCCTCAACCCTAAACTGAAGTCCTAGAAGATGGGGCTCTCATAGATGCGCGCTGCATCTCGAGGCCGACCAAGAAACCTAACTCTACGGCCTGGAAAGGGTTTAGGGTTGAGGGTTGCGTCCCAAGAAACTGAAAGCCTAAACCTGAAGGAGGAACACAGGAGCCGAACGGTGTGGCTCATCCTCTAGTCATCCCTACACACAACTGCAAATCAAAATCCCATTGTAGCCCAACAAGCTCCGAGGACCCAGCGCCTATTGCAAAACAGGGCGACTCTTTTCATGCGAAATAGACCTGTTCCATCCCTAAACCCTAAACCCTAAAGCTGTAGTAGAGGACCTGGCAGACATGCTGGCGGAGACTAAGCAGCTCCAAAAGTTGGCTGGCTGCGAGGAGGTGGGGGTCGAGGGCTCACAGTGGGGGGGGGCCCTAAGCCTGAAGGGTTTCATATAGAGCTTAGGGTTTAGGGTTTAGGGTTCTATGGGGGCCCTAAGCCTTAAGGGTTTCATACAGGGGCCGGAATCTTGAAGTATTCCCTTATGGCCCCTTTAATATTTTTACTAGGGACCCCCCCCTAGGGGCACGTGGTCCGCTTTAGCGCTCGGGGCTTAACCCCTAGATCCGATAAGCATGCACTCATCGGGATTTGTAACCTAGGAACCTGCTCTTCTTGCTTGTCAGTACAAACTTCAGCAAAAAAAATAGTTGCCCGAGCAAAGGGAACTACAAATTTAAGGTCACAACTGGCTTCCGAAGCAGGCGCACTCGAACATTGAATAAAGCAAGAAGGCCCGCACCGCCCCCCCCGCCCCCCCCCAAAGGAAGCAGCAAAAAGCAAAGACAACTAACCCAAAACGCTTTAACCTCTAAACTCCGAGCCCCGAAACTCCTACGCACTTACCCCTAAGCCTCCCAAAGCTTTAAACCCTAAATCCCATATGTGCTCTGCATCTGAAACCCTCAATCCACAAAGGCCTAGACACAAATCGTCGCTATCTGGGGGCCCTGAAACCCCTAAGCCCCAAAACCGCAAGGCCCTAAACCCAGAGAATCCTACGAACCTCCTAAGCCCCCCACAACCCATGATTCAAAAAATCAACCAACACCCCGAATCCTCCTAGACCCAAAAAAAACCCTCCTCGCCAGGCCCAAGGCATAGAGGCCGCGAACTCCATGTGTTTTCGGTTTCAGAGGCTTTGTTGTTAGGCGTCTTATACTGTATTGCTCAGGGTTTGTGGGTTGGGGGTTTGGGATGCTCCCCCCTATACTAACAGTCCTTAAAAGGGATGCTCATAGGGGTATTATAATTATAATCCCTCTTAAGGACCACTAGTATAAGGGGGAACATGCCAAGTTGTAGGGTTGAGGCTGGCAATTGTTGTGGTCATCGGTCCTGGCTGACCTTCGGACCTTAACACTGTTCGTGGTGGCGGGCGCCGATTGCTTCATCACAATAGTGTTGGCCTGGCCATGGCAGTATAGCAGATACAGCACAGCCAAGGATTTAGCTTCTTGTTTGGGGGTTTCAAAGCTCAGGGTTTCGCAAGGGTGTGCGGTTTAGTGTAGGTCTTTGGCAGTATTTTAACTGATTGTTTTGGGTTTCCAGGTTTTGGGTTTAGGGAATGGTTTCATAGTGTACGGTTATGTAAAATTTGCTTAGGGTTCCCAAACCCCCCAAATGACCGTAAGCCGTAAACCCTTAAACGCAGCAGCAGTCATCATCATCGAAGCCCTAACCCCTAGCCGGGTGCCCATGGTGCAGTTAGCAGATTGCTTGTACCTGGTTGCAAACTAAAGTGTTTGTAAGTGGTGGCATCTCATATTCGAATAGTTCATGTCTTCTTGTGGTTCGGCTATGATACTAGGTCGTTTGAGACTCTTGTGTGCCGCATTATATCTTTGTATTTTCAATATGTATATATATATACACATAATATGTACACACTCTGTTTTTTACATCATACTGTTTCACATTCTACTGTCCTATCATAGTACACTCTGGCATATTCCATGATACTTGATTATATGAAACATTGCATATGCGATACTTTCTCATAGAATGCGGTATCACATTCGAGTATCCTGTCTATCATATTCTGTTATATTCTGCAGACTTATCTGACCTGACAGGAACCCGAGCCAGGTACGGCTCGGAGGCAGGACGGGGTGTCGTTCAAGTGGTTTTCAGGGCTTCTGGGGCTTTAGGGATTTGAGTTTCAGGGTTTAGGTTAAGGGGGATTTGGTGACTTTGAATCAGGGGTTGGGGATTGGGGATCTCGGCTTTGCAGGGTTTGATTTAGCCTATGAATCAAGCTGTGTGAAGGGTGTGTGAGGTCTGCGGGAGGGGGAAGGAAGAGAGGTGTGGATTAGGGTTTAAGGTTTAGGGTTTGGGGCACTGCGCCGTTTGCATAGTGTTTACGTGCAGGTTCTGCGTACACCGGCGCCGCAAAATGTCTCTTAGCTTAGCAGTTTTGTCTTGGAGCGGAGCCTACTACCGGGTAACCGAAGTAATCCCAAGGGTGCTTTGATAAATCACTCAGCACAAGATTCTGGTTTACAGCTCCTCGACTTGATCTTGAGAGTCCCTAAATTACCTTCCAAGGTGCCCTTTCATAAAGCTTCCTCAGTAAGCAGTCAGTAGGGGTTTATCTGATTTTGGGGGTTTTCTTCTAGCGCCACAAGGCTCTTGTGCAAGTTTGAGTGAGAAGCCTAAGCCCTGAGAAGTTTCGGGTTTTGGGGTTTAGGGTTTAGGGTTCTTTGGGGTTTTGTGTTTATGTTT